CAGGAGTTGCGGCCGCCGGCGCAGTCTTCGCGTACTTTGACGAGGTCTACGAGGTGCGCGGGGCTGAAACAAGGAGAGTGGGCCCGGTGCAGAAAACGAGAGCGGCCCTGGTCCCGCACGTTGTGGAAGTCGACGAGGCGGGCCGGCGCGCGCTACCCCCAGGCTGGAGGTACACGGAAGGGGGGAACCGGGTGTTTCACGCGGGCGCCCTCAGTTTTGATGGACGGCACTGGCGCGGCGAAGAAGAGTGGGAGATCCAGGACAGGGCGGAGGCGCACATGGCGCTGGAGCTGCAGCGGGAGTGGCCGCAATGGGGCGACACGCTGCGCTTAATGGGGCAGTTGCAGAGACAGCGACCCCCACCGCCGCCGGACCAGGACGAGACTCTGCCGGCAGTGCAGGCTGGACGGCTCGGGGAAGAAGAACCCGGGTCGGATGGGGAGTACGAACCACCGCTGGGGGAGCCCTGGGGAGACTTGCCGGGGGCTTACATGGTGGGATTGCCGGAGGCAAACGAGCGCCGGCGCCCCCTGAGAGAACAGCTGAGGAAGATGGAACGGGACTGGGGCCAACAGTGGGCAGGGATAGGACCGGAGCGGCTGCCGGTGCTGACGCAGTTTGGGAGCCGGCAGATCACGGTCCTCAGCCTCTTCGCTGGAATTGGTGCGGAGCTCGAGGGACTACTAAGGGCGGGGGAAAGTATCTCCAAGTTCCTTTATGTGCAGATAGACCCTGTTGCCCGCAAAGTCATGGAGCACCGCGTGAGATGCTTGCATCACCGCTTTCCGGAGGGGTTGCCCACGAGTGCGTTTGAGGGGTTTCTGACGGCGCTGCCAAGGACGTGCGAGACGTGGGGGACCGAGAGCTGAACCGGTACGGGAAGATACACCTAGTGACGGTGTCCTCTCCCTGCCAGGGGCTTTCACGAGCCAACCATCAAGCGAAGGGGCTGGAGGACCCGCGGTCGGCGCTGATTCTCGAGGCGTGGCGCGTCATCTCCCACATCGCCAAGCGCCAGCAAGTGCCACCCGGTTTCATCTTCGAGATGGTGGACGCGGCAGATCACCAGAGCCCGGCGGCGCGGTGGGCGTTTGAGCTGATGGGGCGGGTCAGTGTGCTGCGGAGGGCCCGGACGCTGGGTGCGGATAGACGCGGCGAAAGTGGGGTCGCCGGCGCACAGGGTGAGAGTCTTCGGGACCAACTTGGCGCCCCCAGAAGAGCTGCAGGCGCGGTACAGAGACTTCCAGCGGGAGTGGGTCAACGACAAGCGGGAGGCGCAGGACGTCCTGGACACCGGGCGGATAGTTCAGGTGGCGCGAGCCAACGACGTGGAAGTTGGCCGCTACCACCCGATGAACGTCGCCGGCGAGCCCCTGCGGATCTTCCTCACGTTAGTAGCCACCCCGGGGTCGTATGCCTGGCGCCTGCACTCAAAAGACGTCCCGGGGCCTGGAATGGTCTACGACAAAAACTTGAGAGAATGACAAGAGCCCAACGCCGGCGAGCGGGAGCGCATCATGGGGTTGCTGAGGGGCTCCAACGAGGCATGGGGGGTCAGCGAAGCAGACCGCCGGCGGCTGATTGGGGCGGCGATCGACGTGCGCGCGTACGCATGGCTCTGCAAGCAGATCATGCGGTGACGTGACGACGCCAATCACAACTAGGGGCGCGCGGGGGTCGCTGCGCCCCCGCAACAAGGATGTTCCGGGTCACCCGGAACAAAACCCAGGAGTGAACCAGCTGGCGGGCAATTGGAGCGTCAACCCGCAGCTGGGGGGGGGAGAGGATCCCAGGGGTGTGAAAAACCCAAGAAGAGCGAGGGGCCGGGGGGGCCCAGGGCGGAGATCGGAGAGTTTTTACCTACAGAAGGCGCCGGCGCAGAAGAGGAGGCGGTTGAGATCGAAGGGCTGCGCTCTCTCGCGCACGGCGGACAAGAGATAGGGCCTGAGTGGCCGGAAGCGGTGCCGGCGGCGGCGGTTGGTCCAAACCCCAAGGAGAAAGGTGCGGAGCGGTTCGGGAAGGGCGCGGAGGAGCCATTCGAGTAGGGAGCCGAGCAGATCTGGCCGGGGCTGAGCGAGGCGCAGAGAGAACGGGTTGTGGAGCTGCTCGAAGGGTTTCGGGAGATCTTCGCCTGGTCGATCTACGACCTCAGCGACACGGCAATAGAGGGGGTGGAGTTCGAAGTGGAGTTCACGGACGACAAGCCCATCTTCGCGCCCCGCCGGCCGTTCTCCCAGTACGAACACGAGCTGTTGAAGGCCTACTGCGAGGAACGGGAGGCGGCAAAGCTGATAACGAGGCTGAAGCTGCCATCTGGGGTGAAAGAGCCAAACTGCGCGCCGACGGTGATGCCACGGAAGAAGGACGCTGA